ACTATGGAGAACCTGAGGAAACGCGTGACCGTGAAGCTGGTTCGGTCTAACGAGGAAGACAAGCTCAGGAAACTGATAGCCAGCCGGGCATTCAACCGGAGCAAGATATTCACCGACGACCTGGTGGCCCTACACATGAAGAAAAGCCACATCAAATTCAACCGGCCTGATGTACGGCTTTTACTACAACGAGCTCAAGAAGCAGTACGGTGCCAGGTGTGAAGTGCTGTACACGGACACTGATTCCCTGCTGATGGAGATTCGAACCGAGGACGTGTACGAGGACATGAAAAAACGCCTCGATTTGTATGACACCAGCGACTACCCCAAGGACCATGCCATACACAGCACGGTAAATAATAAGGTCCTCGGTAAGATGAAGGACGAATGTGCTGGCACGACCATAGCTGAGTACATAGGCTTGAGACCCAAGATGTACTCCATCCTGAAGGCCGACAATGGGGAGATCCGAAAGGCGAAGGGTGTCAAGAAGTACGTGGTGAAACAACACATCAAACATGCCAGATCCAAGGAAGCCCTGTTCAAGACCCACACCTTCAGCATCAAATGAATATGCTTAGAAGCGACGGGCACAGGATATACAGACTGACGATAAACAAGACGTCCCTGTCGCCAATGGACACAAAGCGTTGGATAGCCATCAACGGGATCAACACGTACGCGTACAGGCATGAGAAAATTGAACCAAGAACATAGGTGTATAAATACAATGTCACGGAACCCAAGAAAGTTTGAGGCTATTTACTACAGCCCGCGTGGGTACTGGAAAGGAGCTAGCGCCGTACATAAGCTGGCTAAAATGGCGCGAGTACCCCCGGACGAGGCCAAAGTGTGGCTTGAAAAACAAGCCCTGTGGCAGATCTATTTACAGGCACCACGCTACGTGCCTAGAAGGAAGTTCGGTATTAACATACCCAATAGCGTTCACCAGGCCTACCTCCTGTTCCTACCCCACGACAAGAGGCACAAGTATGCCCTAACCGTCGTGGAATTGGCCAGCCGCTACAAAGAAGCCGAACCCTTGACCGCGAAAGACTCGGCCCAGGTAGCCCGTGGATTCAAACGCATATACAAACACAGCCCGCTGACGTGGCCCACAGAGCTGCAAGTCGACCCCGGGCGGGAGTTCATGGCTGCCATGTCACAACTGCTAACCAAACATGATACCAAGGTCAGGCGTGGCGCGGCCGGAGCCCATCGCAGCCAAGCCATAGTTGAGAGATTCAATCGGACTTTGGCCGAGCGCTGATTCGGGCATCAGTATGTGAGAGAGATGACCAACCCGTGGAAACGATCGACGGAATGGGTAGCGCGGCTACCTCAGGTGGTGTCGGCCATCATCCACGAAACCACCCGTCTCACCGGCAAGAAAACAGCCGACGCTATCAAACTGAAATCAGTGATAGCCGAACCGGCTGCACCATTGCGTGGGAAGGAGAAACAGATACCCAATAGGGCCCTCGTGAGGTACCTCTACCAGCCGGGGGAACACGAAGGGGACACTCGGAAACGAGCCACCGATCCGATATGGTCAGTCAAAACTTACAACATAGATAAAGTGGACATCAAAGCCGACGAGCCGAACTTGTACTACTTGAGAGATGGGCCAGGGAGAGGTTTCGTTAGAGAGGAATTATTAGTCATACCGTACGGCACAATGTTACGCCCCAAGCAAAATATTTAACACTTACCAAGTAATCCCAATAGTATCCTGTCACATTAAACTGTTTCCTGTCAACACAACATGTCACATGATCAGGAAAGTGCTAGTTCACGGTCATAGTGACCCAATAGTGTCACGTGTGGCAGGGAAGTTAACTGGGGATTCAAAAGTAGTATATACGATGGGGGCGAGATCTAAGGGCCTGACAAAAGCTTTATTTGTGAAATAAACTTTACAGAGGCTTTTGTTGGACTTGATCTCGGACTATCATTGTATATACTACTTTGTCTGTAATGTGGGCTCTGTGTGGGTTCTCTGTGAGGTGTTCTCTGTTTGGGTTGTCTGTAAGGTGTTCTCTGTTTGAGGTGTCTGTAACGTGTTCTCTGTTTGGGATGTCTGTAATGTGTTCTCTGTTTGGGTTGTCTGTAAGGTGTTCTCTGTTTGGGGTGTCTGTAAGGTGTGTTCTCTGTTTGGGTTGTCTGTAAGGTGTTCTCTGTTTGAGTTGTCTGTAAGGTGTTCTCTGTTTGGGTTGTCTGTAAGGTGTTCTCTGTTTGAGGTGTCTGTAAGGTGTTCTCTGTTTGGGTTGTCTGTAAGGTGTTCTCTGTTTGGGTTGTCTGTAAGGTGTCTCTGTAATGTAAGGTGTTCTCTGTTTGGGTTGTCTGTAAGGTGTTCTCTGTTTGAGGTGTCTGTAATATGTTCTCTGTTTGGGTTGTCTGTAACGATTTCTCTGTTTGGGTTGTCTGTAATGTGTTCTCTGTTTGAGTTCTCTGTAATGTGGTCTCTGTGTGGGTTCTCTGTGAGGTGTTCTCTGTTTGGGTTGTCTGTAAGGTGTTCTGTTTCAGATGTCTGTAACGTATTCTCTGTTTGAGATGTCTGTAACGATTTCTCTGTTTGGGTTGTCTGTAAGGTGTTCTCTGTTTGGGTTGTCTGTAAGGTGGTCTCTGTGTGGGTTCTCTGTGAGGTGTTCTCTGTTTGGGTTGTCTGTAAGGTGTTCTCTCTGTTTGGGCTGTCTGTAAGGTGTTCTCTGTTTGGGTTGTCTGTAAGGTGTTCTCTGTGTTTGGTTGTCTGTAAGGTGTTCTCTGTTTGGGTTGTCTGTAAGGTGTTCTCTGTTTGGGTTGTCTGTAAGGTGTTCTCTGTTTGGGTTGTCTGTAAGGTGTTCTCTGTTTGGGTTCTCTGTAAGGTGTTCTCTGTTTGGGTTTCTGTAAGTCTGTTTGATGTCTGTAACGTGTTCTCTGTTTGGTTGTCTGTAAGTGTTGTCTCTGTTTGTGGTTGTCTCTGTAAGGTGTTTCTGTTTGGTCTGTAAGGTGTTCTCTGTTTGGGTTGTCTATAAGGTGTTCTCTGTTTGAGTTGTCTGTAAGGTGTTCTCTGTTTGGGTTGTCTGTAAGGTGTTCTCTGTTTGGGTTGTCTGTAAGGTGTTCTCTGTTTGAGTTGTCTGTAAGGTGTTCTCTGTTTGGGTTGTCTGTAAGGTGTTCTCTGTTTGGGTTGTCTGTAAGGTGTTCTCTGTTTGGGTTGTCTGTAAGGTGTTCTCTGTTTGGGTTGTCTGTAAGGTGTTCTCTGTTTGGGTTGTCTGTAAGGTGTTCTCTGTTTGGGTTGTCTGTAAGGTGTTCTCTGTTTGGGTTCTCTGTAAGGTGTTCTCTGTTTGGGTTGTCTGTAAGGTGTTCTCTGTTTGGGTTGTCTGTAAGGTGTTCTCTGTTTGGGTTGTCTGTAAGGTGTTCTCTGTTTGGGTTGTCTGTAAGGTGTTCTCTGTTTCAGTTTTCTGTAATGTGTTCTGAATTGTTTTGAAGGTATGTGATGTTTGAGTTTTCTGTAAGGTAAAGTACACTTTGTTTGAATTGTTTTGAAGGTATATGATGTTTGAGTTTTCTGTAAGGTAAAGTATATTTGGTGTGAATTGTTTTGAAGGTATATGATGTTTGAGTTTTCAATAAGGTAATGTACACTTTGTTTGAATTGTGTTGAATGTGTACTCTGTTTGAAGTTGTCTGTAAGTTGTATTATGTCATATCACAGGTGAAATCAGTACAAATCACTCTGTGTCAACTCTTGAGGACCCGGCTTAGAATTGACTTTCAGTAACCCATGCTTGCCGTAAGAGGCGACTAACGGGATCGGGGGGTCAGGCTCGCTGACTTGGTTGACACATGTCATCGTATTCCAATTGCGTAGATCAATGCTCATGCTGTGATCACTGGATTGTCAGGATCAGACTCGACTATTTACAGACTGCCGCCATATGGTTGGAATATTGCTGAATGCGGCGTAAAACTAAACTCACTCACTTTGTGTCACACACCGTGAGGTTTTATACCGTGTAAACGGTAACCAGGTCCAGAACCATGTTCGTGGTTTATCATGGTGCTCGTAAATGATACTTTGGAGCTGAAAGTAGCGTTGATGAATGTATGTAATTTGGGCCAGTCTGTCACTTTGTGCAAACTGTTATGTAAGTTGCCCTTGGTGTTTTGGTTAAATTCTATTTCGGCTTTGTTGGCCTCACTGTGCTGTTGCTTGATGTTAAAGGCACTATTTCACATCACAATTCTCTAAAAATAAGTAATGCATTTCTCTCAATAATACTAACTATCAGCCCTCAGGGAATCTACCATATAATTTATTCCAAAAGAATACGTATTTAGATAACAGTAATATATGAATGTTCGAGTGAATTAATCCAACGTTGCATTAAATCGACTCTCGCGCCCACTACCGGCTGAACATTATTTCAAGCGAACCCCACAGAGTTATGTCCCTTGGAGCGCTCTTACGAATATCCTATAACTTCTTTGGAGAGAGAACTCAGTCCTAGACAAAACATACGCGCAACTTGTGATTGAAACCAGTTAGGCAAACACCGACAACACCGGGTGCGACAGCTTTCGATGTACGGAACAATTGTTTACATCCATATATGGCAGGTGTTCTCTGTTTGGAAGCTGTTCGCCTCGAAGTTTGAATTCAATTATAGATTTTAGGCATGTCGTAAGGGATAATAAGTCTTTTACTGCATAAATAGGAAGCTAAAGTGAGTGCATATGCCCCAACATATATAATATCGGCCAAAATATTGTCGAAAATGTATGACATGGTGCCTTTAAGATAGAAATTCATTAATTTTGTTCCATTCATGAATCTGTTGAGATTAATGGGTCTTTGCGTGAACTGGCTTATAAAATTGCCAAGGTCATTTGTAGAGGTGCAGCTCTCTATGGCTCGCGGACAACCCCAGAGTCACATAGTTGTGTTACTTTACGATGTACATATTCTATTACATCATGAATAATATATATGTAATAAAGGTTGGTATTGTCATTTACAGTGCAACTTTTTCAAGCGTGAGAAGAAAGGCCAAGTCCAAAAATGGAAGCGAGAAAGCGGTTACTACGGGAAAAAAACGTCAGGTGCTCCACGAAACAGCAAAGTCCCTGGAGAATCGACCCTAGGAGAATAGAGTTAGGGGTGGGGTGGGGTATTAGAGAACCTATATGTATTGTTGGGACTGAGGACCCCGGGAGTTTACCGTAAGTGACGCTGTGATGACCGAAATCCCCAGAGAGTTGTTGATGTGGTGTGATCATCGGAAGTCATTCACTTCGTGTTGCTCATTTTATAATTTACTTTTTGTGTTACGTCCCAGTAGAACACAAAACAGAAGTACAAAATGGTTTAACTCCACGTATGATATTCTCTGAAATGTAAAGCTGTGCCTTGGTCTGTGCAACGTCAAGTTATTGCCAACTCCTGAAACATGATGCCTACTGCCTAGTACATAATGCCTGATGTCTAGTCCCTAGATCATTATAACTCATACCTTTTGCCTAGTACATAATGCCTGATATCTAGTCTCTAGATCGTTATACCTTATGCCTACTGCCTAGTACATAATGCCTGATGTCTAGTCCCTAGATCGTTATACCTCATGCCTACTGCCTAGTACATAATGCCTGATGTCTAGTCTCTAGATCGTTATACATCATGCCTACTGCCTAGTACATAATGCCTGATGTCTAGTCCCTAGATCGTTATACCTTATGCCTACTGCCTGATGTCTAGTACATAATGCCTGATGTCTAGTCCCTAGATCGTTATACCTTATGCCTTCTGCCTAGTAGATAAGACCTGATGCCTAGTCCCTAAATCGTTATACATCATGCCTACTGCCTTGTACATAATGCCTGATGTCTAGTCCCTAGATCGTTATACCTCATACCTTCTGCCTAGTACACAATGGCTGTTATCTAGTCCCTAGATCCTTATACCTCATACCTTCTGCCTAGTACACAATGCCTGATATCTAGTCTCTAGATCGTGATACCTTATGCCTTCTGCCTAGTAGATAATACCTGATGTCTAGTCCCTAGATCGTTATACCTCATACCTTCTGCCTAGTACACAATGGCTGTTATCTAGTCCCTAGATCCTTATACCTCTACCTTCTGCCTCCCTGATATCTAGTCTCTAGATATACCTTATGCCTTCTGCCTAGTAGATAATACCTGATGTCTAGTCTCTAGATCGTTATACCATCCTACTGCCTATACATAATGCCTTCTGCCTAGTACACAATGCCTGATATCTAGTCTCTAGATCGTTATACCTTTTATAATTTCTGCCTAGTAGATAATGCCTGATGGTTTAACTAGTCTCTAGATCGTTATACGTCATGCCTACTGCCTAGTACATAATGCCTGATATCTAGTCCCTAGATCGTTATACCTCATGCCTACTGCCTAGTACATAATGCCTGATATCTAGTCCCTAGATCGTTATACCTCATACCTTCTGCCTAGTACATAATGCCTGATATCTAGTCTCTAGATCGTTATACCTAATGCCTACTGCCTAGTACATAATGCCTGATATCTAGTCTCTAGATAGTTATTCCTAATGCCTACTGCCTAGTACATAATGCCTGATGTCTAGTCTCTAGATAGTTTTACATAATGCCTACTGCCTAGTACATAATGCCTGATGTCTAGTCTCTAGAGCGTTTTCATCATTCCTGCAGCCTAGTACATAATGCTTGATGTCTAGTGTCTAATGGCTGATGCCTATTGCGGAGTACGTAATGACTGATACCTAAAGCTCATTGCCTATAACCTAATGCCTTATGTTTGATGTTGATACAGTAATCTACGGTTATAACGAAATCAAAGGGACCACTGACTTCAGTTCAGTTCGTAATACGCTACTTGAATATATATTTGATAAAAATAACAGTTATATGCCGGATTAAAATATATTGTATCACGTTGCGTTATAAGCGTGTTCTTTATAAACGTAGTTTACTGTACCTGATACCCATTGCCTGTAGTGTTGACGCCTGATCTCTGATGTTTGGTGTATGATGTCGGATGGATTTTACATGCAGACTGACACTGTTCGACTGACTGACTGACTGAGTTTGGTTTTACGCCGCTTTTAGCAATATTCCAGCAACATCACGGCGGGGGACACCAGAAATGGGCTTCACACATTGTACCCATGTGGGGATTCGAACCCGGGTCTTCAGCGTGACGAGCCAACGCTTTAACCATTAGGCTACCCCACCGCCCCTGACACTGTTCGACAGACCATAGGGCCTGTTAGTATCGCGAGGCGCTACTTCCGGTACTAAGCTGGTTCCCGGCTCCTTCTGCGCGCACCAACTTGCGATGTGCGAGACGGGGCCCAGTTTACTTCCGGTACCAGATTTCCGGTGACAAGGGTATATTCAAGAACCAGTTCTGGTTCCACATTGCGCGACCGCCAAATATGACTTTACTAGACCGGACCAAGTGTACAACCATGCGTGGCTGTCACAACTCTTGACAGTCGTAATAGTTGGTTAAGTTGGAGATGGTTAGATCGGGAATGTGTTATTCCTACAAGGAATATCGGTTCCTTACTGTCAACTGACAACCATGAGACCAATCGAAAAGCATTCGTAACCACTTGCCCCTTTCCGTAACCTCCAAGAAGATCGCTATTCAGCTTGTCCCGGACTAACACGAGTTGGTCACCAATGTTCGAAAAGGTATGAAACGTTGTTTGTCACCGGAAGTACTAAACAGCATAAGGTCTCGCGAAGTGCCGTGACCTACTTACGGGCCCTCATGTTACTGTTGCTCTATTGTTAAACATACTATATAGACCGTTGTGATATTACTGTGATATTACCAGTTGCAGCTCACTGAGGCATACGGGAGCAATGCTGAACGATGTTCACCTTGACTTCATTGTTGAATTCAGGCTGTCGCGTTGGTTGAATTGAGCCTTTTAGTAGGGTCTTCAGTATTGTGAAGTGTAATACGTTTTGAGATGTCTGTACAGGGTGCGATTTCGGTTCATGTTAACAATGTTGTACCCGGTGCAGATGACAAATGAATAAATCCTCCAACATCTTATATAGCTGTCACTGTGTGTTTTAATTGTTTTGGTTCGTTGGTTTGTTGTTTAACGCCGCACTTAGCAATATTCCAGCAATATGGTGACTGTCTGAAAATAATCGAGTCTGGACCGGACAATCCAGTGATCAAAAGCATGAGCATCGATCTATGCAACTGGGACACGATGAATGTGTCAACCAAGTCAGCGAGCCTGACCACCCGATCCCGTTAGTCGCTTTTACGACAAGCATGGTTTGCGGAAGACCAATTTCAACCAAAATTTCACGGGTTGTTTTAATTGGGAAGTAAGTGACTGGAAGTAATACGTTTCTCTCCGCATGACTTGTTACAGGCAGAAACATTTGTGTACTCATAAATCAGTTATATAGCAGATTCTTGTGTGTGTTTGTTGTCATGGTAGTAAGTGCAGAACTGGTGTTATGAGCACACATTGAACTGACGTCTAATGACAGGTCAGGGGTCACTGTGCTATATGTCATCAATAATGGGTCCTTGACTTTTAAACTACAGGAAAGATAAGGTGATATGTAGATCTAAGCAGGGTCAAACTTTCCCCAAAATGTTCGTTCTTGAATGGCTAGTATCACGAGTATTAAGAAACAACCTTCGCTGAAATCATTTTTTTTCATAAGGTGCAAGCAATACGTGAACTGAATAAGCACTTACAATCTCCCATCTGCCGATATTGTTTGCCCCTAATACATCCAGTGGCGATAAGCGTAAACAGAATCATTCATCGTTTATCTGGTTACTTGTTATGAAAATTGCTAAACAATTATTATGTTACTTTTCAGAACCAGTGACATTATTTTATAATGCAACCAATATTTTAATGGTGTAGCCGAACGTATGATCCAGGTTTTACAGTACTGAAAAAACAACGAAATCGCACCCTGACACTAAGCTCTACTATATTCGAATTGTTTATAAGGTAAAGGGTTATTTGTGTGAATTCAAGCTTTCGTGTCGATTGGATCAAGACGTATTAAGGGACCGTTCATAATTTATGGCAAGGGGTGATGATGATGTTCTATATACAGAAGCATGTACAATGTGACTGACTGACTGAGTTTGGTTTTACGCCGCTTTTAGCAATATTCCAGCAACATCCCCTTGCATGTCATATGCAGAAATGGGACACACACACACACTGCCCATAATTTTTTCGCATAATTTAATTACGAGCCAACGCATTTACACCATTAGCTGACCCCTAGTACATGTGTACAAGATGAATGACACCCTACCCAACCCCTGAAATTGACGTACAACCAAAGTTTTACGCCGCTTTTAGCAATATTCCAGCAATATCACGGCGGGGGACACCAGAAATGGGCTTACACATTTTGCCCATGTTTTAATCATAATTTAATTACATTTTTCGTGACAAAATTGCCAACGCTTTAACCAGTACACCCCACCGCCCTGACCCCTACTCCCTACAACAAAATGGGTTCCCCTTAAGTCATCATCTCACACCCTCCCACCACCACCACCACCACCACCCCTAGCCATTAATTGTGAATGGTCCCTTAACCACATAACTGTATAATTGTTGAACGAACAATGTCACATCTTTCAATATCACTTATTGACAGGCTGCCGTACTTATGGCTGAAAAGTAATTTTGTCCTTTCCTGTAGTCCATATGTGTTGTTTCTCTATTGTTGTTTTTAATCTGCCGTATTTACCACGGACTGTGCATATACTATTCAGACTTGTAAAACATTTACGAAAAAAAGTAGCAAGTTTGTTGATTTGATTTCGTTGTTCTTTGTTTGTTTGGGGTGGGGAGGGGTTGAAGGAAACTTTGATTCTGTATAAAAAAGAAAATTGATGAACGCTATTTTACAATTCGGCATACATGGCAAACTGCAACGCCTTTTGAAACATGTACTCGGAGGTAAGTCTTCCCCTGAAAACGAATAAACACCCAAGTCCAACCAAGACAGCGACACCCGATCCCGTTAGTCGCCACATACGCGAAAGCATGGGTTACTGAAAACCAATAAATCACGCAACTCTAACTCAGATCTACACGGGGTGTAGGGGGCTGTGAGGAAGGCTACTGAAGAATAAACATATGCATTTTCCATAGAATCACGGCGAAAATTACATGATGGATCAGTGAAAATCAGGACACCTTATGTGAAGAGTAAACCAGTCCAGCCCTACCATACCCATAGAAACAGGACTGAGTGACCGAGTTTGGTTTTACGCCGCTTTTAGCAATATTCCAGCAACATCACGGCGGGGGACACCAGAAATGGGCTTCACAAATTGTACCCATGTAGGGAATCGAACCCGGGTCTTCGGCGTGACGAGCCAACACTTTTATCACTCGGCTACCCCGACGCCCCCATAGAAACAGGAAGATGGACTAGCGTTGTAAGATCTGACAGACAACGTTCATAATGTAAAGAAGCACGGTGTCCGTATGGTGTCTCTTACGTCAGGGGTTCAGCATGTCCGGAGCACTTGATCACCCTTTCCGCTGGGCCCCTCGCCTCTGAAGCTGACGACCCTCGACCAGTGCACACTTACACTGTATCCAACATGGCGACAGCTGGAGCCGCCATTCTTCCACTTCTTCTCTGTTTATGTCTGGTAGATGTGTGTTCCGGTTACAACATTGACGTTGTCCACGCCCGTGTCCTCCATGGACCAGAAAAAAGTATGTTTGGATACGCCAGTGCCTTCAAGTGGACTCAGTCTGGATATAAGTAAGTGCAAGAACTTATAGTCACATCTTTCAACAGGAAGTTATTGCAAACGAGACGATCACAGTCACTACCACGCTTCCCCACTTTCTTAGTGATGTAACTATCATATGATAAAATGTGATAATTTATAATGAATTTAAAGGGTAGGACTTAGAGGGCTTTGTGGAACTGATCACAAGGTTGGGCGTGATGGCACTATCATTTTGTTTATGACTAAACACAGCCACCGCCTTTATTGTTGCCATTTTGTGTCAAGGAAGTAGATCAATATATTTAGGACCTAGTTAGTTGTTTCGCCACTCAAGTGTCCATGTTAAACAGACACCCTACTCTGGGAAACAATGGGCTGTCTGCAGCTTACTTTAGCTCTATGCCAGCGACCAACCATCCCCATCAACGCTTATCTATAGTTTAACGTTAACGCAATGCTGTTGTCACTGCCTGTAAGTGGAGAGCAATTTGCGGGATGTCATCCTTCACGCCGACCGTATCTGCATCCGTATATTCTCTCAAGAGTACTCAGTCTGGATATAAGTAGGTGAAGGAACTTATAGTCACATCTTTCAACAGGAAGTCACTGTAAACGATCGGAATCTGTACCCAAAGTTATCTGTTGCTACAATTTTCGTTACCTTTACGTTAAAATTTTGAACTATGCTAAGATCGCTTCGTGGAATTGGATCAATGTATTCAATTATAGGTCTTTTTAAATGCTTGCAAGACGCTTCCCGAGTCGATATTAACAACTCGTGAAGGTCCGTGTTAGAACTGGTCTTCAGTATCCGACGCTTGTTGTAAGAGGCGACTAACGGGACCGTGTGGTAAGGCTCGCTGACTTGGTTGACATATGTCATCGTATACCAGTTGTGTAGATCGATGTTCATGATATTGATCACAGGATTGTCTAGATTGACTCAATTATTTACAGACGGACAACATTACTGAGTGCGGCGTAAACAACAAACAAAACTATATTAACACGTTCTCAAATCTTCTTTGTTATTTGGTTATGGCTTAAACGTACAATGTACGAACTGGATTAGGCTACCAATGTCCTTGATTGTTCGGTGAAGATTCACTGCTTGTATTCCATTGTATGTAGTGAGGTGTAATGTTATTACCTAAATAGATGCAGCATTGAGTTGTTTCATGAAGTTGATTATAGTCCTATGTAGTGTCAACAGCTGGTTGTAGTTCAATGAGGTGCCATAACGTTGTTGAGGCCACACATATCCCAGCCATATGACGTCGGTGTTTAATCGAGTCTGGGCGAGACAACCCAGTGATTGGCTCATGAGCATAGATCTACGCAATTTAGAAACGATGACATGCGTCAGCGAAGACAACGAGCCTGACCATCTGGTAGTAAAACTATTTGTGTCATACAGCTGACTGAAGGCCGATATATTGTCATATTGCGCAGTATAGCTGGCTATAGTGCAATGTAGTGTCATACAGCTGACTATAGTCCAATATTATACAGTATAGCTGGCTATAGTGCAATGTAGTGTCATACAGCTGACTATAGTCCAATATTATACAGTATAGCTGGCTATAGTGCAATGTAGTGTCATACAGCTGACTATAGTCCAATATTATACAGTATAGTTGGCTATAGTGCAATGTAGTGTCATACAGCTGACTTTAGTCCAATATTATACAGTATAGCTGGCTATAGTGCAATGTAGTGTCATACAGCTGACTTTAGTCCAATATTATACAGTATAGCTGGCTATAGTGCAATGTAGTGTCATACAGCTGACTTTAGTCCAATTTAGTCCATATATTTAAGTGTAGTCATGAATCGTGACATATTGTTGTAAGGGTGCCTCTGCACCACATCTAGTTTGTAGTTTCAATTACAACCAACATCTCGTGTCTATCCCTGTGTCGGTTCCACCTCGTTTGTCTTCCTGCCTCGCTCTTATCTCTACAACAAGCCCGCAGCACACACACATATCTCGCATTATAGTCATCGCTGCAGCGGTATTCGGAAACCACCCTTCCTTTCGCTTCAAACTTCCTGAATCCTATGAGAACGCTTTGTCACTTTATGATATTGCATGCCTTTGTGCCCCATATGCTTATTTAACACAGGCAGATGCAAATGCAGGGGTGACAATATACTTTTATGGCATAGTCAGGGTGTACAGGTGATAAACAGATACAGTCTTAGTCAGAGTTTTGTAGGTATTATCTATCAGTGCGTGAGTGAGTTTAGGTTTACGTCACACTCAGCAATATTCCAGTTATATGGCGGCGGTCTGTAAATAATCAAGTCTGGACCAGACAATCCAATGACCAACATCATGAGCATCGCCATCTATCAGAGTTCTTGGAGAGAAACGTAAAGCAATGATATGTTACAGAGAAAGTCTTCTCCTAAAGAGAGATGCATGCAGTCATTTTCTACACACACACACACACACACACACTCTCTCTCTCTCTCTCTCTCTCTCTCTCTCTCTCTCTCTCTCTCTCTCTCTCTCTCTCTCTCTCTCTCTCTCTCTCTCTCTCTCTCTCTCTCTCTCTCTCTCTCTCTCTCTCTCTCTCTCTCTCTCTCTCTCTCTCTCTCTCAATATCAATCCAACCGGACTCCCCGTGCAATTCTTATTTTTCGTTCCAGGCTTACTGTGGGGGCCCCCAAGGACAACTCTACACGAAGGAACGCTACTGGCGCCACGCACGAATGTGACGTGACAGCACCTCTGAATTGTGTACAGACATATAAGATCGATCAAGATGATCGTGAGTTATCTATTTGTCATTCGAATTTCAACATCGAAACTTGTTTTACATCGAGTTCATACATTAGGTGTGGAGTCAGGATAATTGTTGTGTTTTTGCTGTGTTTAAAAAGATCAGATTACTGAAGTCCTCGGGGTTCCCAAACCATGTTTCATTCTGCAATCTCTGAATGCAACGACTGTCTATGCAAGGTTGGTGGGTTTGTTGTTTAACGCCGCACTCAGCAATATTCAAGCTATATGTCTGCGGTCTGTAAATAATCGAGTCTGGACCAGACAATCCAGTGATCAACAGCATGAGCATCAATCTACACAATTGGGATACAATGACATGCGTCAATGAAGTCAGCATTCCGACCACCAAATCCCGTTAATCGCCTCTTACGACAAGCATGGGCTTCTGAAGATCAATTTTAACCCGGATCGTCACTGGTCTATGCATGGAGATGCTATTGTCCAACAGTCTCAGTTCCCTGAGCAAACATACCCAACAGTTGGTGTGGCCTTATTGTTATAATGGCGACATGACGAATTCATTGCACAACTAGTAAGACGTGTATCACTGAGCAGAAAAGTTTCCCTATAATGATGAGAGATGCATGCAGTCATTTTCTACACATACACACACACACACACACACACACACACACACACTCACTCTCTCTCTCTCTCTCTCTATATATATATAAATAGAGAAATTTGGATTTAAATGTTGTTACTCTTTGTTAACAAATAGCTCTTAGTACCTTCACATTTTCCGTTTTGCCATTAATTCTTATCCACTGTCAAGTAAAATAGAGGAGACTTTCAATTACTTTGTAAAATGACTAACATACGTACGGATTCTGAAAATGGCCAAGACGAATAACATTCTAGGACTGACTGAATTTACACACTGAAGTCATGAAGTATTGAAGATTTTTTGAAAATGTTATGTTTTTTTGTCTTGAAGTTGATCTGGAGTCAAAATCTGGAACCTGGTACAATGCCCATGAGATGTATGGTTCTATCATCGTGCAGTCAAACGACTCAACAACGGTAACTATGTCAACGCACAGGCACAACCCTAGTTCAGTCCCCCCACACGTAGCCATTCACTGTCCAGAGTTGCGTCCCTTGGCATACCAGAATTGAATGATCTTCAGTTCGATTTCCATAACTGCCCTGAACATGATGCCCAGCTGCAGGTTCTCTGTACCTTCACTGTGCGAGTGTGTTTCACGATATTAGTGGGACGGTGGAGTAGCGTAATGGTTCGATATTCCACATGACTAAAATGTGTGAAGCCTATTTCTGGTGGTATATTGCTAAACTCGGCAAAAAACTCACTCACTCACTCACTCACTCACTCACTCACTCACTCACTCACTCACTCACTCACTCACTCACTCACTCACACACTCTCACTCACTCACTCACTCACTCACTCACTCACTCACTCACTCACTCACTCACTTACTCACTCACTCACTAGAGTAAACAGACACAACAGTGAGTCAGCATAAATCTTAGAATAAAAAACACCACAGTGAGTCAGAATAAATCATAGAGTAAACAGGTATTACAGTGAGTCAGCATACATCATGGAATAAACAGACACCACAGTGACTCAGCATAAATCATAGAATAAACAGGCATTACAATGAGTCAGCATCAATCATAGATTAAACAGACACCACAGTGAGTCAGCATAAATCATTGAAAAACCGACACCACTGTGAGTTACCATCAATCATAGAATAAACAGGCATTACAGTGATTCAGCATAAATCATAGAATAAACAGACACCACAGTGAGTCAGCATAAATCATAGAATAAACAGACACTGGAGTGAGTCAGCATAAATCATATATTAAACAGACATTCCAGTGAGTCAGCAGAAATTATAGAATAAACAGACACCACAGTGAGTCAGTATAAATCATAGAATAAAGATACACCACAGTGAGTTAGCATAAATCATAGAATAAACAGACACTACAGTGAGTCAGCATAAATCATTGAATAAACAGACACTACAGTGAGTCGTCATAAATCATAGAATAAACAGGCATTACAGTGAGTCAGCATAAATCATAGAATAAACAGACACTGGAGTGAGTAAGCATAAATCACAGATTAAACAGACACCACAGTGAGTCAGCATAAATCATAGAAAAACCGACACCGCTGTGAGTTACCATAAATCATAGAATAAACAGACATTACAGTGATTCAGCATAAATCATAGAATAAACAGACACCACAGTGAGTCAGCATAAATCATAGAATAAATAGACACCACAGCCAGTTAGCATAAATCATACAATAAACAGACACTGCAGCGAGTCAGCATAAATCATAGAATAAACAGACACTACAGTGAGTCGTCATAAATCATAGAATAAACAGGCACTACAGTGAGGCAGCATAAATCATAGAATAAACAGACATTACAGTGAGTAAGCATAAATCATAGATTAAACAGACATTCCAGCGAGTCAGCATGAATCATAGAATAAACAAACACCACAGTGAGTCAGCATAAATCATAGAATAAACAGACATTCCAGTGAGTCAGCATAAATCATAGAATAAACAGACATTCCAGTGAGTCAGCATAAATCATAAAATAAACAGACACAACAGTGAGTCAGCATAAATCATGGAATAAACAGACACCACAGTGACTCAGCATAAATAATAGATTAAACAGACAGTACATTGACTCAGCATAAATCATAGAATAAACAGACATTACAGTGAGTCAGCATAAATCAAAGAATAAACAGACACTACAGTGACTCAGCATAAATCATAGAATAAACAGGCATTACAGTGAGTTAGCATAAATCATAAAATAAACAGACACAAAAGTGAGTCAGCATAAATCATGGAATAAACAGACACCACAGTGACTCAGCATAAATAATAGATTAAACAGACAGTACATTGACTCAGCATAAATCATAGCATAAACAGGCATTACAGTGAGTCAGCATAAATCATAGATTAAACAGACATTCCAGTGAGTCAGCAGAAATCATAGATTAAACAGACACCAGAGTGAGTCAGCATAAATCAAAGAATAAACAGGCAATACAGTGAGTCAGCATAAATCATAGATTAAACAGGCATTACAGTGAGTCAGCATAAAACATAGATTAAACAGACACCACTGTGTGTTAGCATAAATCATAGAATAAACAGACACCACAATGACTCAGAATAAATCATAAAATAAGCAGGCATTACAGTGAGTCAGCATGAATCATAGGTTAAACAGACAACACAGTGAGTCAGCATCAATCTTAGAATAAACAGGCATTACAGTGAGTCAGCATAAATCATAGATTAAACAGACACCACTGTGTGTTAGCATAAATCATAGAATAAACAGACACCACAGTGAGTCAGAATAAATCATAAAATAAACAGGCATTACAGTGAGTCAGCATAAATCATAGATTAAACAGACACCACTGTGTGTTAGCATAAATCATAGAATAAACAGACACCACAATGACTCAGAATAAATCATGAAATAAACACGCATTACAGTGAGTCAGCATAAATCATAGGTTAAACAAACAACACAGTGAGTCAGCATAAATCATAGAATAAACAGGCATTACAGTGAGTCAGCATAAATCATAGATTAAACAGACACCACCGTGTGTTAGCATAAATCATAGAATAAACAGACACCACAGTGAGTCAGAATAAATCATAAAATAAACAGGCATTACAGTGAGTCAGCATGAATCATAGGTTAAACAGACAACACAGTGAGTCAGCATAAATCTTAGAATAAACAGGCATTACAGTGAGTCAGCATACATCATAGGTTAAACAGACAACACAGTGAGTCAGCATAAATCATAGAAAAACACGCATTACAGTGAGTCAGCATAAATCATAGATTAAACAGACACCACTGTGTGTTAGCATAAATCATAGAATAAACAGACACCACAGTGAGTCAGAATAAATCATAAAATAAACAGGCATTACAGTGAGTCAGCATGAATCATAGAATAAACAGACAACACAGTGAGTCAGCATAAATCATAGAATAAACAGGCATTACAGTGAGTCAGCATAAATCATAGATTAAACAGACACCACTGTGAGTTAGCATAAATCATAGAATAAACAGACACCACAGTGAGTCAGAATAAATCATAAAATAAACAGGCATTACAGTGAGTCAGCATAAATCATAGATTAAACAGACACCACTGTGTGTTAGCATAAATCATAGAATAAACAGACACCACAATGACTCAGAATAAATCATGAAATAAAAGACATTCAGTGAGTCGCATTACAGTGAGTCAGCATAAATCATAGGTTAAACAAACAACACAGTGAGTCAGCATAAATCATAGAATAAACAGGCATTACAGTGAGTCAGCATAAATCATAGATTAAACAGACACCACAGTGAGTTAGCATAAATCATAGAATAAACAGACACCACAGTGAGTCAGAATAAATCATAAAATAAACAGGCATTACAGTGAGTCAGCATGAATCATAGGTTAAACAGACAACACAGTGAGTCAGCATAAATCTTAGAATAAACAGGCATTACAGTGAGTCAGCATACATCATAGGTTAAACAGACAACACAGTGAGTCAGCATAAATCATAGAATAAACAGGCATTACAGTGAGTCAGCATAAATCATAGATTAAACAGACACCACTGTGTGTTAGCATAAATCATAGAATAAACAGACACCACAGTGAGTCAGAATAAATCATAAAATAAACAGGCATTACAGTGAGTCAGCATGAATCATAGCTTAAACAGACAACACAGTGAGTCAGCATAAATCTTAGAATAAACAGGCATTACAGTGAGTCAGCATAAATCATAGATTAAACAGACACCACTGTGTGTTAGCATATATCATAGAATAAACAGACACCACAGTGAGTCAGAATAAATCATAAAATAAACAGGCATTACATTGAATCAGCATAAAGCATAGAATAAACAGACACTACTGTGAGTCAGCTTGAATCATAGAAAAAACACGCATTACAGTGAGTCAGCATACATCATAGAAACAACAGACCTTCTAGTGACTCAGCATAAATCATAGAATAAACAGACATCATTGTGAGTCAACGCCAATCATAGAATAAGCATGCATTACAATGAGTTACAATAAATCATAGAATAAACAGACGCCACAGTGAGTCAGCATAAATCATAGAATAAAGAGACACCACAGTGAGTCAGCATAAATCATAGAATAAACATACACTACAGTGACTCAGCATAAATCATAGAACAAACAAGCACAACAGTGACTCAGGATAAATCATAGAATAAACAGACACCACAGTGAGTCAGCATAAATCATAGAATAAACAGACATTCGAATGAGTCAGCATAAATCATAAATTAAACAGACACGACAGTGAGTCAGCATAAATCATGGAATAAACAGACACCACTGAGAGTCAGCATAAATCATGGAATAAACAGGCATGACAGTGAGTCAGCATAAATCATACAATAAACAGACACCACAGTGAGTCAGCATAAATCATAGAATTAACAGGCACCATAGTGAGTTAGCATAAATCATAGAATAAACAGACACTGCAGTGAATCTGCATAAATCATAGAATAAAGAACAAGACAGTGAGTCAGCCGAAATCATAGAATAAACAGACGCTGGAGTGAGTAAGCATAAATCATAGATTAGACAGACATTCCTGTGAGTCAGCATAAATCATAGAATAAGGAGACACCACAGTGAGTCAGCATAAATCATTGAATAAACAGACACCACTGTGAGTCAGCATAAATCATAGACTAAACAAGCATTACAGTGACCCAGCACAAATCATAAGTTAAACTGACAACACAGTGAGTCAGCATAAATCATAGAATAAACAGACACTACTGTGAGTCAGCTTGAATCATAAAATAAACAAGCATTACAGTGAGTCAGCATACATCATAAAATAAACAGACATTCTAGTGACTCAGCATAAATCATAGAATAAACAGACACCATTGTGAGTCAACGTCAATC